ATCAGCAGCCTAGAAACCAAGCGCTAGGAGGAAAGACTGAAAGAACTGGGCGCTATTTATTTATTTGATTTATATCCCGCCCATCTGGTATATTCTACCACTCTTTAGCCTTGAGAAAAGATCTATTTAGCCTTGAGAAAAGAACAAGGGGCGATAAGCTAGCACGGTTAAAATATCTGAAAGGCAGTCCAACAAAGGAGGGGCAGGATCTGTTCTTGGTCATCCCAGAGTGCAGGACACGTAATAATGGGCTCAAGCTACAGGAAGCCAGATTTAGGCTGAATAACAGGAAAAATTTCTTAACTGTTTGAGCAGTATGATAATAGAACCAATTATCTTGGGAGGTGGTGAGCGTTGAAACGCCAGAGGCGTTCAAGACAAAACTGGATGCAAGCAGGGGGTTGGACTGGATGGCCTTAAGAGGCTCCCTGGACTGCCACTGGCTGATGAGAAGAGCCAGTGGATGGCAGAGAAAGAGCTTCACACTCTGTATTGAATTCATCAGAAGCAAAGTGTTAGAGAAACCTAGTCCATCCTACCTGTATTTTCTTGGAGGCAAGACTGGTCATCTTTTGGTTGAACCTGGATGCCCACCAGGCATAGGCATTTGTTTGTTTGGACTCCAAATCCCAGAATCCTCCATTCTGAGAGCTCTACCTGCCAGGCAGGTTTGGACAGGAGGCAGCTTCCTGTTCCAACAGCAAGGTGGGCCTGAGCTTATCCTAACCTGGCTCGCGACGCTTCATACACTTTGGGGGTTTCCTTAAGTAGACAAAGACTAGCTAAGCACAGCTCACCCTGTGCTCGCTTCTCACACCTGAGAAAACCAGCCTTCACGGTGTTGTCTTTTCTGATTTTATTAGGAGATTTTTTTTTACAAGACATCAAACTCTTTGTTCCAGATGCTGGAAAACCTGAAATTAAAACAAAACGTTTGTGAGCGACCAACCAAACGCCTTGATCTTTAGACAAGATGTATTTACAGTAAAGCATCTAACATGCTGATGGTACCCTGTAAATCAGGAGGGTTACAAAACCCATGGGTGACATGCTTCCTTCTTGCCAAGCAACCACTACAGCAACCAGAACAGGCTTCCAGGGACTGGAGACCCCCAACATCTGGCACTAGAATCTCAAATTTTGCTCACCCCTGCTCAAAAGACTTAGCAGCAGCTGCACTGCCACATGTGGTCAATCCGTGGGACGATTCCTAGCGAGGTTCACTCCAGTCACTTCCAACGCACTTTTGGGGGAAACAAAGGCAAAGCGACTCACCCCCTCAGGCGGTGGGGACAGGCTGGGGCATGGGGGGCTGCTCTGGCTTCGCCCCTTTCTGCTCCGAAATGGGGGTGGTGGGCAAGATGTCCTCCTTCGGCTCCACGATGCTGACGTGATCTGGCAAGGGCTTCTTCGGTCCAATCTTGCCGCTTGGGTCCCAGGGCAGCATGATCTTAACCTTAATACCCAGCACACCTGCAGGACAGAAGGAGAACAGGAGGTCAAAGGGCGAGGAGGCTTCAGAAAGCGCAGCGGCCTGCATTTGCCACTTGTGAATGAGCGAATATGGCTTCACGAGGTCTCAGAACCAGATGTACTCCTGCCGAGTTTCATGATATCAATGGACTTCATTCACCCCAAACCTAGAGGTTTTGCTTTAACACGATGCCCTCCAGAGATACTGATTTTCAGCTCCCACTGTCCCCAAGCAGCATGTCCAACACCAATTAAATGAAACGGCAACGCTGTATTTCTGGTGCTCCAAATGTAAGCCATGCCAGAACGGTGGACCCATTCCTCCTCTCGACAACAGCAAAATGCAAAGTGTGCTGCTTATATGCCACCTTCCAACACCAATTAAATGAAATGGCAATGCTGTATTTCTGGTGCTCCAAATCTAAGCCATGCCAGAATGGTGGACCCATTCCTCCTCTCGACAAAAGCAAAATGCAAAGTGTGCTACTTATATGCCACCCCATAATGCTCAAAGCACCCTCTAGCAGTTTAGAATTTAGTGATGCAGTCTTCACAATGCGCACACCCCACCCCCTGGGTACTCAATTTATTTATCTCAGAAGGAGAGAAGGACGACTGAACCTTGAGCTGGTTACCTGGGCACTGAACTGGGGTGGTGAGCAGAGTTTAGGCTGCAGTTTCCCTACCATTCTGATTTGTATTCTACCTGCCAATTCAGAATCAGAAACTAAATTCCTAAGCCTGATGTACTCCTGCCGAGTTTCATGATATCAATGGACTTCATTCACCCCAAACCTAGAGGTTTTGCTTTAACACGATGCCCTCCAGAGATACTGATTTTCAGCTCCCACTGTCCCCAAGCAGCATGTCCAACACCAATTAAATGAAACGGCAACGCTGTATTTCTGGTGCTCCAAATGTAAGCCATGCCAGAACGGTGGACCCATTCCTCCTCTCGACAACAGCAAAATGCAAAGTGTGCTGCTTATATGCCACCTCATAACTGCTCTGGCAGTTTATAATTTAGTGATGCAGTCTTCACAATGTGCACACCCCACCAGCTGGGTACTCAATTCATTGACCTTAGAAGGAGAGGATGACTGAACCTTGAGTTGGTTACCTGGGCACTGAACCGGGGTGGTGAGCAGAGTTTAGGCTGCAGTACTGCAATTTAAACACTGTCCCTACCATTCTGATTTGTATTCTACCTGCCAATTCAGAATCAGAAACTAAATTCCTAAGCCTGTTAACAAAGTCTGTGCAAATCCCAGCTCCTAGCTGAACCGAAAAGACCAAATAGTAATTTGTCTGCAATCAGGAAGGGACAGGACAAATCCACCCATAAGCCTTTTGTCGTCAGCCCTGCACCAAGCAAAGAGGGAGTGAAGAAGTCAAGGACTGGGGTGTGTGGATGGTTCAGAAGCAAGACCTTGTGGGGTTGCTCAGGGGTGTCAGACTCACCCTGCCTGAGGAGGACGTGACGCACGGCAGTGTCGACATAGTAGTTGACGGGGTCTCCGCTGTGGATCATCAGACCATCCACAAACTTCATGGACTTGGCTCGCTGGCCACGGAGCTTCCCCGACACCACCACTTCACAGCCCTTGGCTCCACTCTCCATGATGAAGCGGAGGACGCCGTAACATGCCCTGAAGCAGAGGGTCACAAGAGATGCACAGGAGTGCCCCAGTTAACCACTAGTGAAACGAGTCGACCACCAGTGCCTAGTTATCCAACAGCCGGTCCCTTCTCAGACAAATGCCTCAAGCTCATCCAATGAAGAGGACACATCTGCCAGAGCAGCCCAGCAAGGCGCCACAGAACGTGGCACAATGCCAGTTTGCTTTCAGCAAGAGGGTGCCCGATTCTGACTCGTCATCAGATCATCACAGAAGGAACCCGTTGTAAGTGTAGCAAAGTGAGAGCAAGATCTCTGGTGGCTACAAGGTGGATTATCAGGCGTCAAACATGGAAGATTTTTATATTCTAGAGAGTTCCTGTGGAAGTTGACTGAAACAGAAATTTAAGGTACACCTACACTGGAAGGAAATCAACCCTGAGTGCTCACTGGAAGGACAGATCCTGAAGCTGAGGCTCCAATACTTTGGCCATCTCGCGAGAAGAGAAGACTCCCTGGAAAAGACCCTGATGTTGGGAAAGTGTGAAGGCAAGAGGAGAAGGGGATGACAGAGGACGAGATGGTTGGACAGGGTCACTGAAGCGACCAACATGAATTTGACCCAAGTCCGGTAGGCCGTGGGAGACAGGAGGGCCTTGCGTGCCCTGGTCCATGGGGGTCACGAAGAGTCAGACACGACTGAATGACTAAACAACAAAACACTAAAACATTAGGCAAAACCAAAATGAAAGTGCACCTTGAAATATATAAGTCTTAAAGGTATCACAATGTTTTTGTCTTTTTTATTTGTTCTCTAAAACATGAGGCAAAATGAAAGCGCACCTTGAAATATATAAGTCTTAAAGGTGTCACAATGTTTTTGTCCTTATTTGTTCTCTTATTTTTCTTTTGTTAACCTTAAAGACTGCTATATATTTCAATGTGAGCGTTCGTGGATACAGTCTGACTTTCTCAAACACTTGATTACAGCTTTCATCGACAACACCTGGTTATGTTTTTCTAGAGTCGACTATGATTATATGTAGGACTGATTCGTTTTGCCCATTTATCTGAGAAAAACTATAATCAGAACATGAATAATCCATATTTTAGTGTATCTTAAAGGTGCCCCACTCTCTTGTCCCAATGACATTTTCTGGTTCCAGGGTCCTTGGCTTCACCATGCATAGTTTTCTGCATCAAATAACTAAGGCATCATTCCAATTAACTGACAAACTAAGCTGTAGCCCACAAACAAGTTTATGCTGCAATTAGCTTTCCCTGTGGCTGCTTCCAGACTGTGGACCTCCCTCCCACAAGAGATCAGCCTGGCCCCATCCAGGCTGCCGTTCCGCAAGCAGATCAAAACCTTTCTTTCCCTGAGTGACTGGCTACCTGAGTGGCGTCCTCAAATTGTGTTTTGCTTATTTTCTTTCCTGATTTTTTTTTGAAATAGTGTTTCTTTTTAAATATTTGTACACTTACTGTTTTTGCTTTTAAATATTGCCTTTTTAATGATGTAAATGACCTGGGATTCTTTTTAAGGAGAAAAGTGGGTTAAAAGTATCTTAATTAACTAAATATGTTCTGCTGCAATATGTGCTTATACCTTTATCAAGATAATCCTGTGACCATTCAACTTCAGGGGGAGCTTATTCCTAAATAAGTGGACAAAGGACGGAAACCTAGAGCACCACATCTTTGTAGTAAAGTTAAAGCTGAAGTCCTAAATTGTGTCAGCATTGGCTTAATTAAATTTTCTGAAGTGGTGAAACAGCCAGGTTGCCCGGCATTCTCACTTGCAATCCTGTGCCATGAGCTGAACTGTCAGGAAATGATGTTCTCTCCCAGGATGCCCCCCCCGGAACACTCAACCAAGCCCCTTATAAGCACTTACCGACGCACAGCAAGCCCCCCCAGGAGCTTGTAACGCAGGGATTCTGCCTGGGCAATTGCGCACAGCCCCCGTGTGGCCACCTTCTCTGCATAGAGCTGAAAGGGAAACCAGCACATACTTCCTGTTATGAGAGTCACCTAGGAAGGGCCCAGCCTTCCAGCCCCCTCCACACTACTGCCCCCCCCGCTGTTTTTGGAAGCTTGAACCAACAGAAAGATACTTACATGCCCAGAGCTGCCTGCCACTAATTGGGGTCCCACTGGGCTCTTCCAGGGCTCGAGGGGCTGGCCTCAATCCCAAAGAGCACACCAAGGCTTCCCACACAATCAGAAGCACTGCGTTTCTCCACAAAAGGCCTCCCGAGGCCGCGCTTTGTGCAAGGGCAGGAAGGTGCTTTTTAAAAGCCAGAGGTTCCAAAACAGGAGCTCTGCTTGGAGAGGCAACCCCACCCAAAGACTGCTCGTGTAAAGCCAGTGCTGGTGGGGGGACTCAACCAGGCAAGCCAGCCTTGTTTGGCCTCTGCTGGGCAAAGGCAGCCTTCTCCACCTGCTTAGCACATGAGAGGCAAGAAGCTCCAGATGTGCTATCATCTTCAAGCCTAGAGGACAACAGAGGCTCAGCTAAGAACCTGTCACATTAACCCATGTCTGGCATTTCAAAGAAAAAAAAAAGGGGGGGGAGACCTTGCAGCTGGCAAAGGTGGGACAGACAAGCTGGCAGCTCTGCAGCTTCAGCTGGAAGGGAACTATATCTGGAAGCTGCCAGACCAGAAACTCTGCAGTTTTTTCATCTTTCATTAGTTAAATGTTAATGTATGAGCAAAGTAGGAGATAAAACAGCCTGGTATTGAAAACACCATAATGGAAACTTCAGGTAAGATATCTTGACAGAGGCCAGTCCTTAGTGATTTCTCAAAGACAGAAAATGATAGTTAAGGTCGGCAAGAGGAATTTTTAAAAATTAAAGGCTAGTAAAATTTGTAGCTTCAATGGACAAGGACGGGATCCTTACAAGGGACAGTCTGAAAAACTGGTGTGGCTTCACTTGCAAAGGGTTTAACTCTTGACCTTCAGCCTCTGAATGAAACTGATTCCCATGCAGGTGAAATATACAAGCAACCTTTTAAAAACTGCAGCTGTAAACTCCCGTGATCTGGCTGCAATACAAGCCATCTTTCCAGACTACTGTGAGAGAACAAACTCCGGACTGTCCCTTCTCAGACAAATGCCTCAGGGTCATCCAATGAAGAGGACACACCTGCCAGAGCAGGCCAGCAGGGCGCCACAGAACGTGGCACAATGCTGTTTGCTTCCAGCAAGAGAGTGCCTGTTTCTGCGTCGTCATCAGATCATCACAGAAGGGAACAGAACCCACTGAGCCACGATGAGCAAAGACTGAAGGAGCCCATTACCTCAACACTGCCTTCGGGAAAGCCAAATCGTTTCTGGACCACAGCGGTCAATTCACGGATACGTCGCCCTTTCTCACCCAAAACATTCTGAGTTCTGAAAGCAGGAACAAATAGAACGTATCAGAGACCTAGATGCTGATACTTTACACCTAGCAATGCCCTTTATATCTAGCAACATCCTCCATGATGTCAATTCAAAGTGCTTGTTTTGACATATAAAGCCCTAAACGGCTTGGGCCCTGGATACTTGAAGGACCGCCTCCTTCCATATGCGCCTACCCGGCAGTTAAGATCTAGCCAGGGGGCCCTTTTGAAAGAGCCCGTCCCTCAAGGAGGTAAGAGGGACGGCTTGTAGACAAAGGGCCTTCTCGGCAGCTGCCTCCAGACTATGGAACGCCCTCCCATCTGAAATTCGTCTGGCGCCGATGTTGATGACATTTCGGTGCCAGGTCAAAACCTTCCTGTTCCAGAAGGCTTTTAATTGAAATAACATCAACTGTGGGTCCTGATGATAGCAATTTTAATTGTATTTTAATCATTTTATTTTTATTGTATTGAATTTTAATTATTGTAAGCCGCCCAGAGACCTCAGGGTAAAGTGGGCGGCATATTAAAAAAATAAATAAATAAATTGAAAGTCCTGCACTTCCACTTCCATGGTGCAGAGGCGACCCTGTGCTTTCAACAGATTTCCCCAACAAAATGTGGCCCATAGCAGGTTGCTCCTCCCTGGGAGGACATTGAGGAAGGCTCTGGTGGACGAAGTGCATGCCCACATCTGAGAAAACCAGCTAAGTACAAATGGTGCCATCACTTGAGAGGCAGCCACTGGTTAGTGAAATGTGGAATGGCTGTGAAGTATAAAGAAAGGCTTGGCTATACTCATATTGAAGATTTAAGCACGCTGGTGCTTTCAAACATGGCAAATCCATGGAAGTAAACATCCCACCACCATTCTGCACATCTGTAATAGCATCCACGCTGGCTAACCTGCATTAAACTGTGAAGGGAAAATCTGTTTAGTTGAATGCACTTAGAATTCTCCCATGGCTGCACAAGATTCCTACTCACATGGAGACTTCTAAAACACATTTAGCCAAACAGGTAGAGATTCTGATTCAGGCTTTTCTGGTCAATATGGGACGTTTGGATGAAGCCAGTGGGAATAAGGGACACCTCCTCTTTTCTTCATGGACAGGGAAGTTAACTTCTGAGTCAGGGTTGCTTAACTTTACAGACAGAAACAAGTCACCTGGTTGCAAGGATAATGATTTCCGTCCTGGTTGGGGTAACGCGAACTTCCACTCCAGAGTAGCCATCTTCAGCCAGCTCCCGGGTCAAAAATTCATTCAATTCAGCTTTGAAGATACCGTCAGCCACAAACTAAAATGGACAATCACAAGATCAGAAGCCAGAAATTCCACCCTGCTACCTGAGGACCCCCCAACGTAGCCCAATTTGTGCTGGTAGGACAAAGTAGTTGATCGAGAGCATCCAGAATTTAACTCCTTTCCCACAAAAGTTTGTGTAGCAGCACACAAAGCTCTGGTGTGTAGGCAGAATATTAATTTTCTCTCTTTTTAAGTCATGCCATCCTGGTAATATCTTGTTTGGAATTTAATTGTTATAATTGTATTTGTTGTGATTTTATGCATGTTATATTGATGTGCTTTTATCGATGTAAGCCACCCCAAGTGGACATAGTCTAGAGGGGCGGTGTAAAAACCTAATAAATAAATAAATAATACCCCCCCCCAATCAAATGTAAAATAACATGTAGCCCATCTCACTTTAAACAGCAATGGGCCAAGCTTTCAAGCTCTATCTCCAGTCCCTCGTAAATCCCTGGACAAGTTGCTTACACACCATGGGGTGTGTTTTTCCAACTGATCTGTCACACATGAAAGGGGGGGGAGGCATTTGTGACAGAGGCTGGGCTTCACCAAAGCAAAGAGCTTGCCTCCAGCAACTTCAACATCCTTTGAGCAGGAATAGTAATAACAAAAATAACTGATTTAGGAAGACCCACTTCCAACCCACCACAAAGACAGGCTTACAAAAACGAGACCACTGCCTTCACGCAGCTTCCTGTTAACGGCCCAGCACTAATTTGGCTCTTCAGATTAGATGGTGATAAACACTGGTTATCTCTGCAAAGCTCACCAAAGGGAAAAGCTGACTATCGCGTAACAAAGCTGTTCCTCATGGGCATTGAATATTAGGATCTCTTAAATATCTATGTGTGTATATACACACACACACAGACACCTTCAGGAAGAATGCGGAACAAAGCTGTTCCTCATGGGCATCGCATATTAGGATCTCTTAAATATCTATGTGTATATACACACACACACACACACACACACACACAGACACCTTCAGGAAGAACAATTTGCATTTAGAATGGTATTGCACGGGTTCCCCGCATATTTTTGAGGCATAATTCCTAAAGGTGATGGAAGACTAATGATTTCTGGGGGGGAACGATCCCCCTGGATGTACAAACTAAATCAACAAAGAAGGATGCAAGAGCCTTTGGGGCAAACTCCAGGCCTCTCCCCCCCCCGCCCAACTCACCAGTCCCACCAAGTATCACATTTTACTCCCCGGAAACCAGATCTCCCCCCAAACAATGTGGGTTTTAATCCCCAGGCCAGTAGTGAACGATGCCCCCCCACCAATTGTCTCAGTGTGACAAACCATTAGTGGGAATAAGGGCAGCTAAACACGATTTTTTTGGGGGGAGAGAGGGGTCCAGAGGAGAAGCCTTAACCGTCCCTCCAACACATTTTTCTCAGCACTGCATTAAGTTCCTCAACACACACACACAAGGGAAGTGTAATGGCAACTGCTTTCTCCATAAAGCCTCCACGCTCAGCAGCAGTCTACCCCCGTGGAACCAGGAAGGCGCTGTTTGCACGCGCGGGAGGTGTCAGGTTGCCGGCGGGCTCCGTGGGCCAACCCCTAAGTTCGTCTTAGGGC